CTTGCATATGTGATTTTATTTCTTTATTTTATTAGGTTCTGGAAAATCAAAAATGACACCACACTTCTCACAGCAGTTTCATTCCTCATCTCCCGCCCCAGAAATGCCCCCCCCACCCATCATGCTTCAATCTCTGAACACACCAAACATATCAGCTGCGACCGCATACAAGTCGCTCAGTGTGAAGTGACAGGCTGGGGAAACTCCCAGCAAACTCTAACCTTACAGTGCCTCACCAAAGTATTCACGCCCTTTGAACATTTTCACATGTTGTCAAGTTACGACGTCAAACAGTTGGGTATTTTATTGCCACAAGCAATGTAAGGGGCACATTAAATAGGCTGCTTTAGTCAGGTGGCCTGTGTATATGATATGGAATTAGAATTTCATCGCAATATTTTGTGGCACTACTGTGTTAATTAAAATGATTAAAAAATAAATAAATACAATTTTTTTTAGGTATAACATTCATAACATCGTGTATAAATATTGTTCCTGAAAAGCATACCCATTTGAAACAAGCTTCTTCAGGACACCAGTTACTTAAATAAGTTGTGATTTGTATCACTAAGCTGCACACAATAATTGCATTTAATCATATTTTCAAATTTATTGATCTCGTTGTGGAACAGACGCTGGGAAAAATAGTAAAAAAAAAAAATAACATTTCCGATAAAATTGTCTTTTTTAACATCATTAATTGGAATTTATCGAGACAATGATAAATGATAATTCATATCATAAACCATAAATGCCCACTCCTAGTATGATCCCTTGAACAAATCATCACAGCAACTGAGGCAGAGTCAAAACTGTGACGATCTCGTTTATTCATCGTGGAAAGCTAAGTCTGGCATAAAGATAACCACTAAGCAATCCTGGAAGACATCCTGTTACGGCCTTGAAAAGAACTGAGACCAGGGACAGACAGCTGAATAGAAATGCAAACCACACTTTTCAGATTTTTTTTTTTATGTTTTATTTTTTTTGAGAGGATTTGTGAAATGTTTCCTTCTGCTTCACAAATTTATCCTACATTGTACTGATTCATGGCAAAGTCATAAGAGAATACATTTGGGTTTGTGGTTGTAATGTGACGAAATGTGAAAAGGTTCAAAGTGTTTAAATCGTTTCGCAAGACACTGTACGTTTCCAACCATGCGACACCAGCAGGCACTTTTCCGTTCACAGGAGAAAACAAGAGAGGCTTTTGAAATCTCTTCCAGTCATAAACACAACCATAAATCAAAAACGGCCACTCATCATGATCATGGAAGAGGTGATGATGGGGATGGAGAAGGTGCAGGGAAACAGAAAAAATAAGATAAAAAAAAAAACAACCAGACCCTACATGCTGTGACAGAAGCAGCAGAAATCGCCAGCGATCGAGTCGTAGTGACATCTCACCAGCCATGCCTGTTGTGTAGCCACTCCACCCAGCAAGCTTTGCAAACCACACAGCTCCAAGTTCAAGGTGGAATGGAGAGCCCACAACACCAACATCATCAACAACATCAACGACAAGAAGTGCCGTCATGAGAGAGCGTGCGGCACCGCTGCACCATGCTATAGTGAAGCCAGAGGAGGGGGGGTAGAGGGGTACACAGAACAGCCACGTGGAAACCTTCTCTGGGGGCAGAAACCACCATAATGGTTCTCATTTGTCATTTCTAGAAATGAAGGAGAGACAGAGGAGAAAATGGACATTGTTCTGGAGGGCTGGACGCTCACCTCGATTTTACGTCCTTCCACCAGCGTGCCGTGGAGCTTCTCCCTGGCCCTCTCTGCATCTGAGCTGGACTCAAACGTAACAAACCCGAAGCCCTGCGAGGAGAGGAGGAGGAGGGCGGGGAAAAGAGGAGAGGTGGCAAAACGGGCAGAAACAACAATTCAGTTCCTATTTTATGAAAAACAAAACACTTTAATGCTTGAGGGTCTGTCTCCACCGTCTTACCTTGGAGCCCCTCTCGTTGAAAATGATCTCAACATCAAGGATTTTGCCAAATTGCTGAAACGAAAGAGACGACGCAGTGAATTTAGGAGACTGCAGAAGCACTGAAGTCACATGTTCGCCACAGGGAGTCAGCACTGCTCAGCCATGATGAGCTGGCACTGAGCCAGGATGGGTTCTCCCACATCTATCTCTTCCCTGCTCTTGCCTCATCAAAACATTTTGGAGGCATTTCTCTTTACCAAATTGCGGTTATCACGACAAGCCGTTTCAGAGTAACAAATGTTCTGACTTTAAAGGGGCAGAGAAAACGTTTTGCGCATTGCAAGCAGAGAGAAAAGGAGGATTTTTTTATTTATTTATTTTTTTTTGTCTACGTACCCCAAACATTTGCCGTAGGTCGGGGTCTCGGAAGCGGAAGGGGATGTTAGACACATGGAGACGTTTGGGCGTCCCCTTGGCGTCCGAATCGTCCCCAGGGCCCCCGCCACCGCCCCCTCCACCTGAGCCAACTACAGACTGCCCGTCAATCTGAGAGGAGCCGTCAGACTGCAGGGTCAGAGAGACAAAATAAGACATGAACCAACTGATTACAATTTGTTACAGATATTTGTTTTTATCATAAAAGGCTGAGTAGACTAATGACAAACAAGAGGCGGTAATTAGCCGATTACTCCTCTGATTTTTCTATGTATCAGTTCTTACAGACATTTTCCATAAATAGTACTTGTAGGTACTTCTAATGTTTAACATCAAACAACAGATCAGAATTAAATCAAATGCCCCCTCGTGGAAATAAGGCTTCAGTAGGTCAAAGATTTACTAAAACCAAAACCAACGATACAAAACAAATCGGCGCATCTGCATTTAGAACCAAAGTTTGAAAGACATTTAAGTTTCTGATTAACAACTTGAGTGGCCTTTTCACTTTCATCCAACACAATTTATGTTAGAGAAACAGTCCCAGACCCAGGCTGCTTAATAAAATAGAAAAGGAAGGAATTCAGCAAATGTGGAAAGCAGACTTGTGAGCATTGCTGCAGAGAAAATAATGTTGATTGCCTGAGAGTCTTTACTTAGCAGATTTATTAAGCAAATTTATCACCTGCAGTACAATAATTCAAAATAAGTACGCATTGTAGACGCGTACTACAATGCGTCTACAAGTGTATTTATTTAAATACACTTTAAATAAAGTGTATTTATTTAAAAGGAGAGGAAGTCTGAAAGAAGCATCCCTATGTAATGTCAGCTGTATTAAACAAACAGATGTATTCAGCTCAAGTTGTTAAATCATCAGAGCAAATATTTAATAGTAATTAAGTATTTTTCTGTAGACAGAGCTATTTAGGTTCAGAGCAGAAACATTTATAGAAGACTGTGGAGATTCACTGATCAAGTTTTTACTGGAAAATACAGATTTCTGCTCGTCATTAATGTCCCACTGAATGATTCCAAATTAACTGGTCTGGCATTTTTATTTTTAAAAAAACATATAACGTGTAAAGCAATTTTTTCACAGAGGTTGTCCTTTTGAATCCATCAAAAAATAATGACTTTTTCCTTATTTACTCATCAGAAAGATCCTTTAACTTTATCTGATAGTTTTACAATTAAAAAGATCACATCAAAGAGCAGCAATTTGTTGCATTTATAGACCAAATATGGTCAAAATTATTAGTTTGTTGTGTTCAATGAATGGAAGAAAGAAAAATCTCATCAGGTGTGCAGTATTTTTACCTCCTGATCACAGATCAGAGCCAGACAAGAAAAACAGACTGGATGAGTCAGATTTCTGTCAGATTGATTTGTGCATCTCCACAAATCCAGCATGGATATTGAACCTATAATTTAATTACTCAGCAGTCTAAAAGAAAGACATAAAAACACCTCTAAAAAGCTTAAGTCTTTTTGTGGGCCACAACACAAGGTCGGCGCTCACCTGGCTGAGGCTGTTGCCGGCGTTGCCCGCGCTGTTGCCTGCTCCGCCGACCTCCACGGGGCCCTGCACCGCTCCTGCCGCATACAGGCTGCTCCCGTAATCCAGAGTCAGGCCGTTCTGAGGAGGCGGAGGCGGAGGAGGTGGGAAGGCGGAGAAGGGTGGGGGTACGAGTCCTTCCTGACCGCCAGCACTATCCTGAGAGCCCTGTGGACGGAACGAGAACGGAGTGAGACGGTAGCGGGAGCTACGGTAGCCAGCTGGTGAAATTCCCCTACACCTCCCAGACACTGCAAGACCATTTCCCCAGAGTCTTGGCCTAAAAGTCATGCAGACATGGTGGATACTAAATTTTAATTTTTCCCTCCTGTGTAAGAGCGTGCATGTATCTACAGCCCCCTGCCCATTAAATATTCACTGCAGCCACATCTATTATTGAGGGTCAGATGCCTCCATGCTCGGTTTGTTGCACAACGATGAGTGTCTGACGCCTGCACACACACTCACAAACGCCTCTGCGCACAAATCACCTTTGACATGCAAACACCCACACACCTAAGCGCTCGCACAAAGACCAACTGTTATTATGGAAGACTCTCCAAGTATTTCACACACAATTACCCCATAAGATACCAGTTTAGGTTACCAGCACATAGTGGAAAACAATGCAGACATCTGCAAACGAACAGTAATACACACGTACGCACACACACATTCCTCCCTGCTGGCAGAGGGGCATGAATACCCTAAATGGTAATAGTTAGTGAGCAAGGGAGGCAGCAGGGAAGGAGAAGGCGGGGGGGATGGACGATAAAAGGTGGTGACTGATAGAAGAGGCATGCTTTGCCTCTGATCCATAGCTGCAGAGATAAACCATCCATCACTGTCTTTCAGATCTATTTATAACTCTTGAGAATTCATGGGATGGCCAATCAATTAGAGGCTGCAACAAACTGGGACAATCCTTTGCTTTTAGTTTATTGATCTCACTAATATAATTACATCAGGACTGCAGCCGTGCCAAGTTGCACCAAGATGCAGGCAGGCTTTAAGGTAAGTGCTGAGGTCAGCATGCAAACATGCTGAAGCTGCTTACGGTAACGGCGCATGTTGGCGGAGATGTCAGCAAACCACCATAGCAGTTTGTACTAGCACTTGGCTGGCTTCTCATGAACAAGACGGTCTCCTATAAACATATGATGATGGTAAAAGACCTTCTTCAGCAATGCATTATGCTGACCACACAGAAACAATCACACAGAAAATTAAAAAAAAAACTAGTGAACACATCTAACTTTTGCAGGTACAAAAAGGCAACCGCCTTGTAGACATCTTGTCACAATGACAAACGGACGCCGCTAGATACCATCAAGGCTGACCTGGACACAGCAGAGTGTTTAATCCTCTTAAAATTTCCTCCTCTGGAACATGTTGTATTTAGAAACATTGGCAGCACTTTCGAAATGTCAAGATTTATTTTACAGGTCTGCATCTTCAACGTAGACATGGAGCTTGCTGTTCACAGGCAGCAATGAAAACCAAGCTGTGCAATTAACCGAGATAACGGTCCCAATTGTAAGAATGCTTTTATTTTGTAATGTCTTCTGACTGATGCGTATCTCTGCACCTTTCGAGGGCTGAAAGCTAGATAAGCTTTGCGAAGTCATGTTTTGAAAAGTTCGCACAAGTAAAGATGGAAGAAAGAGGAGAGGAAATGATGCATGGTTGGTACCAAACATCCAGCAATAGACGGCACCATGTTGTATCTGGAAGAAGTCGAGTGTACAATGAAAATGAATTTTTCCACATTTCAGCAGGTCATATCACTAACATAAAATATACAACACAGCTTAAAATATCAACAATAAAACCTTGTTTTACAAATATTCTTCTCTCAGACACACACTGAGACTTCGTCTCTGTTCCTAAAGTAAAAAAAAGAGAAAGATTTTAGGATCGTTCATGGCAGGAAGGCTAAAGAGAAATAAGTACAGTTCTTAAAGTGGGACCTTAATTGGATAAAATCATTATTGGCAGAAAAAATCAAAGTATAAGCAAATATGGTTGGTTTTACATCTCTCAGCAGGACTGCAGATCTTTTCCAGTTTTTCTCCTAGAATCTCCTAGATCAAGTTCTGAACCATTTCCTTATTGTTCTGGTACTGGTGGATTGTAGAGATGCCTTTCAAAGCAAGAATGTCCACAAACCTGCAACTTGGCTCAACCAACCATGCACAGTTAGTAAAATGTTGTCTGAACTCTGCCGAAGTGCAACAATAACATTACTTTTTAAGCATGTTCTGCAACCAAAAGGTGGCCTTACATACAGCAGGCAGCAGGTTCACTGCATTCACCATCACAGTCAGGTACGAGGCTGAGCACTGCAGAAATGCTTCAGTTTGCTCTCAACGTCAGTAGAGAAGTAAATCTGCAGAGCGGCAAGTACATGTGGAAAAACTTCCTTCTGCATTCATATGAAAAAAAGAAAACCTTGCTTGACTCTGAACCTGACATTGGTGACTAGTGCTAATAAAATCGTAAAAGAAGGCTGGCAGAGCTACTCATTTTTTTTTTTACCTTATTCCGTTGTTCTTGTGTTTATTTAAAACAATGGGTTCTTGTTAATGCAACCTGTTCTGGCTGTTTCCAGATGCAACCTCGATTTAATAAAGACACTCAAGCGATTAGGAAACCATCAGATATCCTTTTTGTAGAGCAAATTGGCCCTGGCACATGCAGCTTCTCTGTGTCGTGTGACTGGGAAGCTGCAATGTGAAAAGTGGGGGGGAAAAAAGGACAAAGATACTGTTCACACAATAATAAGAACAAACTGAGCCAAATATTATTCACATGCATTCATTTAATATCAACCTGAATATGATAATTAGTAAAAAGAAAAGACAGAGTTTATGTTTAATCTAAGAAACCTTTTGTTTTCCATGAAACTTACTTTTTATTTATCTTCCTATTGTGTTTTTCATTCATAGTCTACATGTAATTATTTTCACCATATTGGTTCTGCTTTCCTCTGCGGTTATTAATCTTTAATGATAGTTGTAATGAGGTAGCACAAAAAGAACACACTGGTAGTAGCAATTTAACAGTAATGGTTGATGTCCTTTTTTATCATAATCGTTTACCAGACATCTGCTTGGTGTGTGTGTGTGTGAGTGTGTGTGTGTGTGTGTGTGTGTGTGAGTGTGTGCGCGAGAGTCTGTCCATGCGTGAGTGACAGCGATGCCCATCTGAGCTGCACAATGGATCACTGTCCCTTTGGGAGAGTTAAAAGTGTGTGGGAGGGTGTTTATGTCTGTGTATGTGTGCACGTAAGCCATCTGTCTCCCAGCTTTTGACCTTTCTCAGCGTCGCACCTGTGACACTGTAGTCCAGCCCCTCGACTCTGTAACAAACCGGGGGATGCACGCGGTCGACACGGATCACATCAATATTGTGACACAGGAGCAGCAGACTGTGAGGGGGAAACTTTGTCTGTTCGTTGGCAGAGACAAACAGAAGTAAATAAATACAGCAGGAGCCCTGGAATGAAATGCAAGAAGCTTTTAGAGAAACTGCTCTTTCAATTGCTTTGGATACTGGTTTGATAGTTTATACAGTGCCTTACATAAGTATTCATACCTAGTGAACTACAACATTTTGTCAGGTTCAATCTGTCATCTGAAAATACAGAGAGGATGGAAACAACTGTGAATCTACAGACACGGCTGTCCATCAAAACAAGGAGAATTTATCAGAGAAAAGGCCGATTGTATCGCTGGAGAAGCTGCATAGATCCACTGTTCAGGAGGGAGAATATCCAGAAAGGACAACTATCAGTTGTTGATTTTACTTGTACTTGAATAGTTTAAAAAGAAAAGTTAAAAATAGAAACAGCCGCTGTTGAAATAAGCCATTCAAACTTTGCCCCAGGTGCATGAGGGACAGAACAATCACGCGGACGTCGGTTTCAAAGGGCGATCCTAAAAGAAAACCTGTTAGAGGCTCAAAAGACTTGAGACTGAGGTTCAGCTTCTAGCAGGACAATTACTCTCAACATTCAGCCAGTCACAGTGCGATGGCTCAGACAAAAGTAGGCCTGAACAATATGGCAGAAAAATTACATTTCTTGCCAGATCCAATTTTTTTTTTTTTCCAAAGTAGTAATTACAAATGACAGTAAACATTTTTAAAAAGTGGCTTTTATTTCAATAATACCTTCTGTGAGTTGTACAACAGAGTATTGGGGAAAGGCTACAAGGATTTTTGCTTAATTATGAGAATATAATCATAATATTAGCAGATTAAAGACACAATTTTTACCAGAAGGAAGCCTTGCGAGAAAAAAGTCATTATGAGAAGAAAGCTTGGATACGGTAATTATTTTTTTGTTATTTTTCTTGTAGGGTTTCTCAGAATTTGGCAAAGAATTTCATTCTCCAAATAGTATGACTGTATTCTTACAATATTTTTGTACAAATATTCTCGCAATTACAAATGAAAAAAATCTAAGCGAGAACCCTATATATTTTGTTGTAGAGTTGACCTGAATTCAAGTCCAATTAAATAAAAGCTGTAAAACATTCCTCTGCTGAACTGTGGAAATCCCAGTAGTGTATTGGTGAAAATAAATTCAAATTTTCCAAAAATCTTAAAAAACAAAAGTTTTGATTAATTCAAAGGAATTTATCACCCGACCCGAAACCAAAGCATATTGCTGTGTTAAACTGGCCCAGTCAAAGTCCACATCTAAATTCAATTGAGAGTCTGTGGCAAGACAAACAGAAAACAGATCCTCACAAAATCTCTCCGCCCGATCTGCCTAAGCAACTCTATTCCTTCCGCTTCATAACTGTGCAGTTCTTTGTGTTGGACTATGACATCAACAAAATGCATTAAAGTTTGTGGAGGTTGTGGTTTGAATATTATTGCTCTGTACTGGAAATTTCAGAGTACGTATTGCTGTATAATCTATAATCCTTCAACAAAAACTTTTGCTAATCTTAGAAATAAGAATGTTACCCTTGCAGAAGCCATTAAACCTGCTAACTAATCCCCTTTTTCACGCTGATGTCGAGAGAACGTAGACACTTTCTGTAGCTTTAAGAGAAGAAAATGCTCAGAAGTCATCCTTTATTGACTCCAGTACCGGACTGCCTCTTGTGATTTTTCAGCAGCGTAATCACAACATGAAATCCTGTTATCTTACTCCC